AAGAGTCATTTAGGGTTTTAGGTAAGCCAGTCTTTAGACCAAGTCTAGCCTGGGAAGACTTAACCTTTAGCTGAGTCCAAATTGAATAGTGAGACCATTTTAAATTTGAAATATCATTTAATTCAGCATTTAATTCAAAATAAACTTCTTGGATTTTAGGGTTAGTCAACATGAGCTTTAATTTAGTTTAACCTACATATTAAGTTCATCCTAAACTAAACCTTAATCTTAGATCAGCCTTGACCTAAACCAATAGGATTAGCTAACCTAAACCTTAGGTTGGTTAACCCTAAACCAATAGGATTAGTTAACCTAAACCTTAGGTTAGTTAACCCTAAAACAAACCTTAATCATAGCTTAGCCTTAAGCTAAACCTACCCTAAACCTAAGGTTACAACCTAACCCATAAGTTGAACATAGAAGAACTTTTTAGGTAAAACCTTAAGCCTAAGTTAAACCTAAATCCCTCAACTTGAATATCAATTAAGAAATAAAATAAAATACATTGGGAGGGGTAAAATTTACATAAAACACATTAAAACTTAAACTTAAACGAAAACAAATACAACAAGGCTTTAATGCATGACTTTGAGGTTAAGTCAGCTTCGAAGTCGTCAACTTCACATAAATGATAACAAGTGAACCAAAATAACTAAAATAAATAAAACACTTAAAATCTCAAGATATAAACAACATAAAATATTTCAACCCTAAAATCAATAAAGTAACTCAAGGATCAATTAAATCTTAATCACAAAGATCACATAACACAACTTAAACCCCTTTTTGTTCTAGTTCACAAAGATTCCTTGGACGATGCATTCAGTGGATATTGACAAGAATCTTCCGGTCCTAGTGGGAAACCACCTTTTGGACAAAGTAAACTAGAGCATCTGGCGACCCGGGACGACGGAGCCATAGACATCTTGACTGGGTTACCACTAATTAAATCATTAAAACTTAATAAAATTTTGATAAAACATTGTTTCCTTATTTGCTCTATTTATTGTTTTATGTATCTAAACGCATGTTCTTTTATTGCTTTTATCAAACATAGAATGCATGTGTTGATGACATATAATGAAGAAATAAAAATTGTTTAGATTAGGGAGAACCAAGAAATCATAACATTAGGTGATTACTTAGCTTAAGTGAACTTAGCCTTGGCCTATGTTTGAACTATACATCCATTACCTTTTAATTAATTCACTATAAAATTATAGAAACAAATAAAACTTTTAATAATAAGATTGGAGGACCTGAAGACATTTCGGTATGGAACTTTGAGCAGACTTTGTGGGCAGCTCGTTCAAGACTCTTTCTTTAGTTTAAATAGCAATCCTTAGGATTTCGAGGTTGTCTTATATGACATAAAACATCTCTTTTTGTTAGGCCCCTGCATGGTCCCGATATGCAGCATGTCCTAACTTGTTTTAGGATTCTGAGGTAGTCACTCGACGTAAAACCTCCCATCTTTCTAGGCTTTATGTGTAAATCATCATTATACAAATCTAAGTCCTAATTAATAAAACTGACAAGAGTTAACTTAATTAATATCATTCTAAATTGAGCCAAACATTAGGATAGTTCAGGAGATTACCAAGAACCTATTCTGGATCTTTAATCTCCCATAATTTTCTTCTTTTGTTCCTTAAAATAAAATCTTTCACCTTTGAATCAATCCCTATTGAAAATTTCACAATCATGTTCGTTGAAAACCCTTTCCTTTTGAACTCATGAAAACAAAAGATTCCTGATTTTTATCGAGAGTTTTCTTAAGTGATTCGTTTGCTTAAGATGTAATTAACTATAGGGGCTTGCCCTTATAGGGAACTTAAAAGAACCCAGACTTAAAATAAACCCTATTTGACTCCCATATCAAATAGGGGAATCTGTCGGTCATCATGCAAACTTACAAATCAAACAGAAGTCATTTATTTCTATAGTTTATTTAATTGAGCTCATTATCAAGTAGTGTATTACCTTTCAGGGTGGTACATTACTCGTGGTTAGCTCGATTATCCAAACTATAGGAATCAATGAGATCAGTTTGACCCCATTTTCTTTAAATTAAAACACCTAATTTCTAAAGCTATATTACGTTAAATTAAACAGCACCTAGCCGCACTGGCGACCAACATGCATCACGGCGATGCATTATGGTGGAGTGTAGCGGCGACACGACGCATTGCGATAATGCGTCAGGGTGACGCATCATGACGACGTGTTGCTACAAAGAGTTGCAATGAAAAATTGTGGCGCAGATTTGAGGTGAAGAATTGCGCACAGAGTTGAAGTGAAGAATTATGGCGCAGAATTGAGGTGAAGAATTGAGGCGCAGAGTTTGGGCGAAGAATTGCGACGCAGAGTTGGGGTGAAGAATTTTGAGTTGTGGTGAAGAGTTGCAGAAAATAACTGCAACGAAGAGAAAAGTCGTCCCCGCCCTGTGTGGTAGGCAAGCAACGGGATCTTCTTTCTCGTTGCGGCGAAGAGTAAAGTTGTCCCCGCCTTGCATAGCAGGCAAACAAAGGGATTTTCCCTCTCATTGCAGTGAAGAGGAAAGTAATCATCGTCTTGTGTATCAGGCAAGCATCGAGATCTTCTTTGTCGTTGCAATAAAAGGAAAGTCGTCCCCGTTCTGCGTAGCAGCAAGCAACGGGAAGTCGTCCCCGTTCTATGTAGCAGGCAAGTAACGAGAACCTCTTTCTTATTTATATCGCGCATTTCATAGGTGATTAAAAAATGTTATAACTTTCCTGTTGCACTTTGAGGAGAAGATTTTCATGCTTATGTGATGGCGATATTTCGAGACCCTCTTACTATCATCAGAAGTATTGAAATTTTGGGGAGGTGATGTCGTCTCTAGTCGAAGATGAGCGGATTTTTTGTAAATTTTATACAAGTATATGTTGGACTTTGTAGCATTTTTTATCATCTTTTATGGTTCATGCTTTCTTAGGTTTTGATCTCTCAGACCTATGCCTTGTAGGAGCTTTAACCGGTACCTTCTATGGCTCGTAGTTGCCTAAGGTTTGACTTTCTCTTGGGTTCATCTTCCAGTGGCATGATAGCTTCTTATTGGGTCTTACCTTCTGAGTTTGACTTTCAGGGGCATGGTTGAAAGGAGAATTCACAGAAGATGTAAGACCAATTGTGAGTTGTATAACCAGAGATGCTCGATGGTATTAACCTGTAATAAATGAATATGAAATACATTAAGGATGGTTGACATATCCCAGGTTGTTGGTTGAAGTTTTTGCTTGACGACCGTAACCTGTTATGGAAGAGGTTGAAGGAAATCCACCAAGGATTTTTGACCTATCCGAGGTTGCATGTCCAAGCTTTTGCTTGTAGACTGTAGCCTGTAATGAAATAGGTCAAATCAAGTCTCACTGCGATCGATTAAGCCTAGAATGAGGTGTCAGAGATGCTCTGCTTTTCTCGAGACTAGGGCGTAGGTCGCCATGGACCTATGTTTTCTTGAAAATATGGTTGCAATCATACTTAAGAAAAATGTTTTATGACTTGTTATTTGTTGCTTTTGAATCTTTTGCTCCCTATCATGGGTGGTCTCCATGTAAGCTTGTAAAACAACACATGTATTAGGCTTTGAAAAGACCAGCTTCCCGATTTAGTTGAAGACGAACTTCAGTATGATGAGGAGACACTGAGAAAGCGTTATTTGGGATAGATATTGCCCCCCCTGTTCAGGAATAATTCTCATAAACTTGTAATCTGAATGAAATATGAGATGACTTCCCCACTACAGTCGTGCTCGAGACGTTGACATGAATGCCATTTCGAGAATGCAGTGAAGGTTGCCCCTTAGCCTGAAAGAAGTTGTGAAATACTTTGTGTCATAATATGATGCAAGAAGACAACCCCACTATAATCTTGCTCGAGATGTTGATGTGAATGACCTTTCGAGACTGAAGTGAAGGCTGACCCGAAACCTGGAAAATGCTTCAGAGATGATTTTCAAGACATAAAGGAGGTTCTTTCGTCAATTGGATGATATGCATCATTGGGAAATGAAGTAGGGGATCAATGTCTTAGAGTTGAAGGCAACGTCGAATGAGACTTCTCTTTCCACAGGTGATGCCAAACTGATATGTGCTAGAAAATTCGCGGCGGTAGAGTAACAAATCATCGTCTTAACGTTGTACGAGAATTCAACACGTACACAAATGAAAGTGAAACATACAATAATGACATCAGAGGTTTTTACGTGGAAAACACGTAAATGGAAAAACCACGGGACATGACCCTATTGCGAAAATCCACTATTAATTGATGATTACAAAAATCCCTTGTATTTTTCATATTACAGTGTCGAGTGACAACGTGTGGTTGGTAGTGATTAACGATGGTGGTTTGCGGTGGTCGACGGAGGTTGACGGAGTTGATGGCAGTTGACATAGTCAACGACGGTCGGTGGTTGTTGAGGGGGTCGACAGTAGACGACGACGGTCGGCTGTGATGCTGAGCTGCAGCTCTCCTCAAAACCTCAGGGTCTCTTTAAAGGCTCCCCCCTTCAGGTGAGGGGTAGGTGTCTATTTATAGTATTGTGGGTGCAATTAATGCAGTATTATGAATCATTTAGATCAGGCGGTTCAGAGAGTTTCCTTCAATCATACGGTGTTTAATGGACATTTGAGTGCCTTAATGATGTTATAATTGAGTGATCTTGTGCTCGTTGGATTTGTTTTGTCGAGACACTTGATTTGAGTATAGACTTGCTAGTGTCGTCATCTATTTGAATTTTCAAATGTGTTCGAAAATCTTCTAAAAGTGGTTTAATAATTTGATCTGAGCTTGATTTAAGTCAGATCAGACTAGTTTTTATATGATTAGGTCCGTCTCATCAAGTTGGTCAGTTTGACTATAAGTTTGTTAAAATTGGAGTTATGGATGAATTTTTATGAAGAGTGAACATTTATTATTCAAAATATCATCTTGAGATCCGTGTCATGCCTCGACATTTGTGTTACATGATGAAATTTTTTTGGTGGCTTATCAAAAACATTAAAAAACAAATACATGAAATTATTCTCTTGCTAAAAAAAAGTCGGCAATTAAAACAAGCAAAGTAAGAAGATGATTGAAAACATATGCATGGGGCAAACCACCCCCTAAACCCAATGTTGAAGGGCATAGGACAATAAATGACAAAGTAATATTTCAGGAGCGACAAAGTTGATATTTTAAAATAAACAAAAAAATAAAATTTCCTCACATATAAGTAAAAATTTAAATTTCAGTGAGCGTAATTGCCCCCCGGATTCTACTCGAGTCCGCTCTAATCAGTTATCTTAATTATAGGATTTAAAATTATTTATTTCACTTTAATAAGATGTAAATCCTCTCTCCGATTCATTTTGATAATGTGTTGTATAATTATATGTCTCAAATCTCTAACAAAAATGAATGATCCCAAAAAAATTCTAATTTCTTAAATTTTTAAATGAACTTATATATATCAAATATTTAATTTTTTTTTATAATTATTTGTATATATCTAAATCTATAAATTATAAAAAAAAACACCACTAAAATTAATTTATTTAAATTAAAATAGCTCTAATTAGAAATACTTTAATATAATTTATATGTCAAAACATTATTAATACATGTACCACTTAATTGATATATATTTAAATATCAAACACTTAAAATTTACATTTTATATCTATACATTCAAAACCTTCCTATCACAAAAAATACCACAAGTTTAAATTTAAATTTAATAAGTTAGATAAATTTTTTGATGATAATGCGCGTCGAAAGATTCGTGATGGTAGAGTGATTATTTATTATATTAGTGTTATATGAAAGTTTAACATACATTAAGTTAATATAAGTAACAACTAGAGACACCGTAAGTTTTTTTACGTGAAAAACTCAAAAGAGAAAGAAAGCACGGGGCATAACCCAAGTGAAACAATTCACTATAAATTAATCTTACACGTACATTTACTTGTCGGACAAACATGAAAGAACTATATATTTCTTCGAATTATATTATTTTTTGCATCATGACTGATAGTGGTTGTAGTTAGGAGTAGTTATTAACAATTCAGTACATCGTCTTTAAGATGTGTTGGTACACAAGGTTCAAGACGACACACTGCTCTATCATGTCCCAACGTATGGCGAGATTTCACATCGTAATTCTGCAAGGGGCTTCGTTGTAACAAGCTGAGGGCAACCAATGACAGTAGACGAGCGGTGCTATACGGTGGTCGGTAACTGAAGGAGTGGAAAGCATTCATCGGGTCTTAGATCTAGAGCGACACTGAAATTCAGCTGATTTTTCGCGAACCTGATACAGGTCCATCTCTTACTTCGGTTCAAGGCCTATGTCCTTTTCCATAATGAGGGTATAACTCTATTTATAGAGTATAGGAGACCTCTCCATGCAAATAAGAAAATAGTTCAGGCTACTACATCAGACACCCTAAAGAGATTTCATCAATTGGATTGTGTTTAGTTGACATTTAATTGCCTTAAAGATGCCAACATTGACTGATCTTGAGCTCCTTGAATTCTTCTCATAAAGTCTCGTAATTTGACCATAATCTCGTAAGATTTGAAATTTATATGACTTTTCAATTAGCTATCTAAAGCTTTCAAAATTGATCTAATAACTTGATACGAGCTTAATTTGACTCAAATTAGAGCAATTTTTGCATCACTGTGTTCGCTCGTCGAGCCGATCAATTTGATCATAAGTTTGCTAAAATCAAGTTTTTATTTTTTTTAATTAGAATTTGAACATTTTTTGCTCAAAATATATTACGAGATTTGTGTTAATCACATCAACCTAAAATTCATGCTAAATGACAAAAATATATTCATCTTTTCATATATAGGTAAGATTAATATATATATATATATATATATATACAAATATATATATATATATATATACATCGAAAGAAAGAAATGCATACATATCACATAATTAATATATATCTCTATATGTAATATCAAAACTCTTACAGTTATGTTTTTAACACTTTGGAGTGATAAAAAAAAGTGTATTTAACTTTTTAAAAATAGATAATAGATTTTTTTTTTCTATAATATTCAAGATTTGAGTGGCATACATGCAAAAATTAATGTTTGTTTATAAGATATGTAATACATAAAAATTAAGTGGTTGACATGCACGAAATGTTGTGAAACACGGGAGGCTCATGCAAGTATGCGTGACGTATAAGTAGTACCGGGTTGGAGTCCGGTTGTCGATTCTAGCCTGAAATTTTGATTTAATTTAAGTTCTATAAGAAAATACTAAGCTATCAATAAAGATGCAAAAAGTTATTCACGCATTTGAGAAGTTTTCCTTTGGAATGGTTCGATAGGTCAATGTTTGTGCAAGTTAACAAATATGCAGATGACAGATAAAAGCAATTCTCTTTCTTAACCCCATTCAGTGTAATAAGAAAGTTTGGTTAAATAATATATTAGTTCCTTAATGCCATTATTTATCCCATGTAACACTATCTCCCTTAGTTTGCATTAATTTAGTGGATGTATTCCTATTCCACCAAATTAACGTGATTAACTTAGTCGTTTCCATTACTATCTCTTATGAGATTCATAACTCACCATAAATTTTAACATCTCACTTGGCCAAAAATGAGATGTAATTTACACTTGAAAAGTTAATCATTACCTGCAACAATCATCACAAATCCTCAAAGATGCTTCACATACATCTCTCCTATTTCCCCATCCCGAGGAAGAAAGAAACTGTTACTCACTATGCATGCTTAAAGTCAACAATTTGATCATTTGATTGAAAGAGAAATAACACTACACAAGTTTTACAAAGAAAATGAATTTGAATCGCAAAATAAAAATTCAAAACTTACTTCCCTTCCTTTACTCTTTAAAAGTTGAAATTACAAGCGTACAATCTCTTAAAGTCTCCCAATTCTCACTTTTCTCCACTTGATTTATCGTCTTTGGTCTCCTCCCTTCTATTTCTTTCCTCTAGAATGTCAACAAAATAAGGAAAAGCCGCAAATACTTTGTCTTCAACCTTTTTATACTTCCTTAAGCAAACTGTCATCTCTAGTTGTTGAAATAGGCAATTTTTTTAGTCGGGTGTTGGGTGCTCATGTCGCAGCTCTTAGGCACTGCATCGTACCTCTCAGGCACTACCCTTATAGCACTAGGATGTCAAGATCTCGGGAAATTGGCTAAAAAAATCCTACAGTTCGAGTGCCTAGGAAACAAAGGTCAGCGCCCCAACACTATGTTTGCGGTGTCAAGTTTCCAATCACTTGAGAAAGTGATCTTCGAAGGGCTGATTGTCGGGCCTAGGCACCCAGTCCTAGCGCCTAAGCGCCATAAAACCAAAATGATTATTTTGCCTTGTTTTGAATCTTGATTGCTTTGTTCACCCGTCTCCTATATTTCAACACAAAATGCATTCAAATAACATAACATAGTCATACAAATAGATAAAATAAAGATGTTAAATACACAAATTATAGGCACATGTCAATGGTATGTATGTAGATGCTCCAAATTATAATTTAGATATTGGATATATAAATAAATAAGAATTGAGTGATATGTATTCAAATCTTTGTTTCAAAATAGCTTTAAAACCAAGTAACCCTTCAATCATATTTATAACGTGCATCGAACCTTAAAAAGCTTCATTTTTATCTGAGGGCATACAATGTATCAGGCTGCTCCATATGAAAAAAATTCTACATCAGGACGTGTGCATCTCCGGACGGCCAACAATTGGGCGCCATGTCGCCCGACATTGACGTGTATTGCGATATGACGCCCGGCGTTTGACTCTCCGAACATAAAATTTTTTCGCTCCAAATCAGGTTGAAAAACACTCTCTCGATTGCCATCAAGAAAGCTTATAACCTTTCACCACCCGACTCCATCCACTGTCATGCAAGTTCATTCTTCCCCTTCACGCTTGTTGAAACCCAAGAGAAGGAAAAAATATTACGTTTGCACGTTTGTATGACCAACCGGTGGGTGACGTGACACCAAGTTGTCCGACGCCGAGCTATATGATGATGTGACACCCGACAGTTAACCTCAGGACCTAAAATTTTCTCCAAGAAAATGGAGCAAAATATAATTAAAAAAAGGGCAACTCTTTTTGCAACCGCAAGCTCAAAATTTCTCGGAAAAATATAAGAGCTACGTTCGGAGTCCACTCATATGAAGACACGTGAATGTGAAAAAAAAAAAATAGTTTTATCGCAGGGGAATATTCTCCCCGTGTTATTCCACGTTATTCAGGTGTTATTGTGGTGGTATTGATGTGTTATAGTGTCCGTGTTATTCAAGTGGTATTGTGGTAGTATTTGTGCTATTGTGGTGATATTGATATGTTATAATATCTGCGTTATTCAGGTGTTATCGTGTTGGTATTTATCTGTTATTGTATTATTATAACACCATAAATATTTTTAGAACACAATAACACATTAATATAAACACAATAATACCTGAATAATATAGAATAACACAAGAAAAATATTTTTTAGGTTACCGGGCAGGATGACAATAAAACACACATCTTTTTTTTAAGCCGCGAGTTCTAATGTGAGTGGACTTGGAAAGTAGCTGTAGGTTAAGAGCACTGATCTAAACTTCATCACTCTTGGCTTCGAGGTGCTGTTGTTTCACACCGAAGATGGCGGCCGAGCTCGCCGTCGTTTTCCCTGGAGTGGCGTCGCCATCGTCTTTCCTTTTGGGAGCTCTGTCGGAGAAACCTTTTCTTCTTGGCTGGCCGCTTAATAGCTTCTCTGCCGTTGCTGCTGGTACAAGTTCTGGTAGTATCGCTTAAGTTTCTTTCTCCAATGCTAGCTAGCTTAGTCTGCAATAAACATTGAAATTGTTGCGAAGGACCTTCTATCGAATTCCTCGCAATCAAAGAACCTAGTTTCTTAACGGATTTGATATCTGTTTTTTAGATGTCTTTAGATGGTGTATCAAATAAGGGCAGTGGACCAGTGGTACTGAAAAGCTTTGCGAGGCTTAAGACCTTCTATGACTATTGACTATATGGATGGTTGATGCTCTCGTGATCTTGATTCTAGGTTCTGTTCCCCATGGACAACACTTATTTGAACCATCAGGGGACCCGATTCTCCATTCCTTATTGTGATTAGTAATTCTATATTTTTATTGCCTGAGATTTGAATAGTCAAAGATTTAAGACAAGTATTGCGCTTATAAAACTTAGAAAACTGGTAATTATGGCCAACTATACTGTACACCTTGACATCATTACCATTGTTATGCTAGAATTACTGGGTCTGTCAGTATATTATTTTTCGGTTAAATAGATTATGAATCGACAAGATGAAAGGGATTATATATTGAACAATATGCATGCTAATATGTGGTTTTATTACCAGTTTTTTATTAAAAAAATATGTACTGTGCTATAATATAAGTTTTTTTTTTAGCATTGTAGTTTAGGCTCATTTTGTTTTTAATATTTGTATTTATATTTATGCAATTTCATCGTCTCTCTAAATGTTCAAAAAACAACTATAGGATTTACATATTGTTGATATGAATTTTCACATTGGATTTTGTAGATTTAAATATTAGATGTAAAATTAAAGAAATCTAATGTAACAGCTACGCCTAACTCTGTGTTTAAGCTGTCTCCATTGTGATTTGGAGATAACAGGAAATAGCCTATCTGCAAATATTTTAGATTGCATATATCAATCCTTCCCCAGACCCTAAAGGTAGGAATTTCAGGCATTGTGTGTGCTTATTCTCCATCATCATCAATATCCCGATCCCAACTATTTTGATCATCTTTAAGGATTCTCCTTTCCCCATCTTTCATGCTTCATCCTCTATGAAGTGTTCACTCTATTTTCCACTATTTGTTTGCATATGCTTCATCCATGTTACTTTTTTTTTCTTTGATAATGAATACATATACATTTTTAGATTTTACATGATAACTATTTGATATAATTGAAGGTTTATTATTGATGTGTCCTATAAATGCTTCACGTCTTAGAAGACCTAGGAGTAAATATCATTATGTGAAACTGCTTCTTGCACTTTTTATGTTGATTCAAACATTTGAGCTCTTCTTTAGAGTGCAAGGTTTATAACATTTATACATCTTGGTGATACTTTGTTGTTGGATACAAGTAATATTTGACGTTAGTTTTAGTTTTGGTTAGGTAAGCTTTATTTAAACAAGTTCAATCAATTTCATCTAAAATCTAGAAATAGTTGATAGGTTTGGATAACGTAGTAGAGGTTTAAGACGATCAATTTCGGCAATTGAGAGTGCTAAGAAAACAAGCATGTAGTTGTTAGGAAGATTTGTAAAATTGAGATTATTTGCGCATTTCCCAGATATTTTAATCGTTTCACTTGGATACGAGAGATGCATACTTCAAGTGTAACTAGGTACTTTAGTGCAAGGAAGACTCCGTAAAATTTAAAATGCTACATTTATTGGTGGAAGGCACACCTGGGCTTTTGTATGGATGACTACTCTATAGTACACTAATGCCTTCAAATCGGAAGATGGGTTCATTCATCCTTTGACAACTTTAGTTTGGCCATTGGAGTCTATGCTAGTGCGTTACTTTGGAGATTTACTGGATGTCTGTTTCAACAATATGATGCACCTGCTTTTGTGTTCAAAGACCATCACTGGAGATGGGGATGCAAAGTGAATTTTTTTCAGACATGTTTTGAAGCACTCTAGGTTGATTTCATTTATTTTTTGCTATGTAGATTGGTGGGAGAGATGTAGAGAAATTCACAAAAATAGATTCAAGAGATGCAAAACAAAACTGTGAATAGAATTGCACAAAACAAAAAAAATCACAGAAAACACAAAAAACTTAAGATTTAACTTGGAAAAACCGGAGAACGGAATAAAATCACGGAGCCACACCACACAAAGAAATTCATCATGAAGAAAATGAGGAGAATAAAACAAATTACACAATACTCAAGCCTTTCCAAACTTTCAAACACATCAAGACGATCATCTCCTCTTCTTTGTACATGAGAAATTCAAATCATTTACCCTCTAACCAAGAAAACTAAAACGTTAATTTGAGAACGAGTCAAATTCAATTACTTCCATTGAGGCGTCGAGATAGCGATGCTGCAACGCTGTAACGCGCTCTGGGATGATGTAGTGCCACACTCTAGGGTTCTGAATATGGACTGGGCATTGTGGCACTGCGATGATCCCCTCTAGGCACTAGAGTGTCATGCTCTCTAGGTTTGAACCTGGACTGGGTGTTGCAACGCTATCTTGCTGGCGTTAGGTACAGAAAAAAGATTATTTAGGGGCAGCAACCCCAAACCTAAAATAAAAAAAAAAGGGGCCCCCCCCCCCCCCCCCCCCCCCCAAACTCTCCGTCAAGTTTGAATGATGATAAAGAGAGTTTTAAGTGAATAATTGCATAACACAATATAATAACATGGACAACTAATTTCTAAGTAACATGTAAGATCCTTTAAGGTTTCATGGACACTAATCTAAAATGAAGCACCTCTTTTCATCCACATATTGATGGATGGATATTGGCAATTCAAATGTTGTTGTGTATGTTGAGGAGCTTTGATTGTTTTTCGAAGACTCGAGATGAATTTCTTGCATACATCTAGTTGCCTTCCGCATGTTAATGTAAAATTCATCATCCGTGGTGCTTGAGATGCCTACCATTGTTACCGGGTTTTAACCAAGGACGAAATGTTATTACTGAATTCAAATAAGAAATTACAACTACACAAGGTAGAAATAAAAAAAATTGCAACAAATAAAACGCACAAACTAGAACTAGGGTCAGATCAAGGCTATTGGTGATTTTGTTCTGGGGTTTGGAAGGTGGCTGCAACAAGGGGTGTGGAAGGTGGCAAAAACAAACATAACACACAAGCTAGAACTGGGGGTGGACAACATTGGGAGAGCAGCGGAAGGGGCGGTTTTGGGCGAAGACAACAAGGAGGAAGTAGGGGGATGGCTGGGAAGGCTGGGGTAGGGCTATCAGGCAGTAGAGATGGGGAAAAGCAGCAGCTGGATGGTTTTTCCTGGGGGCGGCAGCAAGGTGGAACAACAAGCGGAAGGTAACCCGTGCGGGAAAGGGATGGGAAGGGGACTGGAAGGATAAACACCACGTCAGGAATGAGGTACAGCCGAAACACTACTTAAAATCATTGGATATTGCCCTATATGGGAAAAAGGAAGACATTGATGGCTGCCCCAAAACAAACACATCAAAAACTGAAACTTAAATACGAAAAAAACAAAATATATATGCTCTATATAACTATAAGTGGCCCCACTCCAATTGGCAGCAGTTTCCTAGCTTGGAGTACTGGCCTTGACTGGTTCGATTCAGGTGCGTCCAAGCATCCCGCGCCCAAGGCAGATGTCCGCATCATCCATAGAGACCTTATGATCTAAAGGGGGATTATAATGGTCTAGAACAAATGCTTTGGACTGCATAACAATTCCTTAAAGGAATTTGCGGGAGCCACGAGGAGGAGGAAGAAAACTGGAAGAAGTCATATGGGAGATGAAATGCTCATAATGACTGTACTTTTGAGGAAGGTATTTTGATTTGGTTGCACTTGTGGAATGGTTGTTTTGAAGATGAAGGGTAAATATCAAATTCATTCTTTCTAGTCGTATTCGTTCTTTTTAATCCATGCATGATTTTTGTAGAATATTTGTGAAGGCATTTTTATTAGAGGCACCTTATTACACGATCTATTTTTTCATCAAAGAGGCGGAGAATTTAAGGCCATTTGAATCATCACTATCGGATGATATGACACAGAAGGGTGATTCTTACAATCCAGGATCTTAATATCAGCTTTGAAGGCTCATTGTAGGAGAATTGCATTGGATAAATTTGGCCTTCAAGATCGCCAAAAAGGCATAGACTCCATGGCAATCCAAATAATATTCCAAGGAAGATGGAGTAGAACTGCTCTCCATTTTAACTATTTTAAGAAGTGAATGAAGCAAATGGGGGATGCCACGATCCATATGCATTAAATCATCTGGGTAGATTGTTGTCATTATGCAATTAGGCCATCAAAACTCAACCCAAAAGTTAATGGCCTGTGGCTTGGCAGTGGGCTGGTTGAGTCGAAGCAGGTCCAGGGGTTTATGTTTTATTTTATTTTATTTTTCTTATCATTTTCCTTATCCTTTTTTTTATTTTAGGCTTTTTAATTGGTCCTTTTGTATATTTTTGGAATTGGTTAGATAGAACATAGATGAAATTGTTACTCGTTAGCTTTTCAAATTTTATGAGATTTCATTTTTGTTTTAATTACAGATGTTAGCTAGGATCTAAAATCTACTTGTTATCTGTTGCATTGAAAACTAAAGCTTCGAATTTCAAATTCACATATTATAGATTATCCCTTTGTCTCTCTACCACTGATTTCTATCTCCTCTTCATCTCTCTCTCTCTCTATATATATATACATATACACATCCTCTTCAACTGGGAGGAGCAGGGAGTTTCTTGTTTTATTTTTCTCAGTTTCAGCTGTAATAAGTGCCTATAGGGCTGGGAGTGTCTCCAAGCAATTGTATTTTTCTTCTGAAGGTACTTGCTGATTAAGCACTGTCCTGATAGAGTAATTATTATATAGACAGCAAAACAAGCTGTAGCTTTTCTGAGAGAAATTCTAACACGTGTGAAGGAGCAAATGAGTGGTACCTCTGCAGCATCTAATCTCTATTTTTCACTTGATTCCTCGAGACTTGGATTAACTTTTAATAATTTGTTCTTAGATAGACCCAGGTCCTATAGAAAAGTATCATGCAAGGGCTGTTTTTCTCTTTAAATAGCAATGCATGTCGTTTCTAGGGATTCAACAATGTGAAGTGACAATTTCAGGATACAAGACTTTTTATTATATGCAGAGAAATATTAATTGAAAGAGAACTTTTTCATTTTTGAGTTTTTGCTATCTGTTTCAGACAGTTAGCTTGTATATTGGTATATGTTGAAAGACTGGTCTATGAATCTATAGCCATTACCTAGAAGCAACAGCTCAAATCACTATTATATTTTCTGTTGGGTTGTAAGGGTTGGGCGTTGAAGATGCAAATTAATCTAGCCATGCTATTTTATTTTGTTTTAGATGGTTTGAATATATTCGTGATAGGGTTGGTGTAGCTCCTGTGACAGACAAAATTAGAGAAAGTCGTCTTAGATGGTTTGGTCATATTAAACGTCGACTATTAGATGATCCGATTAGGAGAGTAGATGTTTTAAATTCGACTTGTGTTAAGAAAGACAGAGGTAGACCTAGGAAGACTTGGGCTTATTGTTTTAAAAATGATCTTAATTTACTAGAACTAAATGAAAATATGACACTAAATAGGACGCAATGGAGAAAAAGGATTCATGTGGCTGACCCCATGTAGTGGGATTAAGGCTTTGTTGTTGTTGTTGTTGTTGTATGCTATTTTATTTTGTTTTAAAGGTTAAAAAATAAGTTGAATGTGCTAGTTTTTTTTTCTTTTTTTTGGCATAATCCTCATTTTTTATTTATCAGTGAAGAAGTTATAGTGGTTCAAAAGGGCCTAATATGAGCAGTAGCTTAATATACCACGTACTTTTTTTAAAAATATTAGTATTTTTAATATTTAGTGCTGTGTTTAGGCATTCACTCAATACTTCTCATGGTTGACTATCTTCATCATGGGCATGCTTCTATTTTCATTTTTAAAGTTTATGCAAAGATATTTTTATCCAAGCCTAATGTAAATTTCCTTAATTTAGGTAAATCTACGAAGCAAAGGTGTGATGCCATCATAGCTAGAAGACTATCTGGGTTGGAAGAGGCCATGCGAATTAGGAGGTAGCTTATCCTAATGCGCATTTGGGGGTGGTTTTATGCACAATTTACTGAACCTTTTCGTGTCTTGCATGTGATTTTGTACTGTTTTAATACCGTGGAATCTCTTATTCTAATGTTGATATATTTTCATGTTTTCATGGGATTGACATTGTTGCTCTATTACTATACCAACTCCATTGGCATTATCCAATTCAGAAATTTAACTTGTTCTTAGAATTATCATGACTATCTTAATCCAACAAATTTACCCTCAGGATGATGATTTGTGATTCAATTTTATAGCTCCTACGCAAATTACTTCTTATTTATTATCTCTTTTCCATCATTTCTGCCACTCATTCTTTTTTCTAGTTTCATTCGTTGGTAGTTTTAGTTGTTTTTAAGCCTTTTTGAACAACTTGGACGTTGTTCACTTTGCCCTGCATATTTCCTTTATGGTGACATAGTCCCTATTAATTCAATGTCGTTGTTTTGCAAATGCTTCTTTTGTTCTCCAGTGTTACTTTATTTGATATTTATTCACCAACATCAGAAAATTTTCAAAACCCTTTTTTTCTTGTCTGCTGTGTTTCCAACAAATAATGGCAGCTTATTTATTCTTATTGGATCCGCAACCATGATTTTAGCCTGCAACTCTTTTATCAGGAATAGTCATCAACATTGTGATCGCCGTCATTATTAGCACTATTCTATCTATTTGCCGGCTACTTTTCTCTTGAATAGTAACAGCTTTCATTTTTTGGAATCATCTGGGATGCTAACCAAATGGAAACAGACCAGTTAAGCACAGAAAGGAGAAAATTGGTACCTAGTGTTTGATGAATCTGTTACATAAGTATATTTTTGAAGGTTAACATGCCAATTTGGCATATAGCATGACACCATTTGTTGCTTAATGATGTTTGTTATCTAGGATTTTGCACTTCCATATATCACTATTTGATGCTTGAACTGTAGAAATTTCATTAGCAGAAAATTACTTTTTGCCTTCGATTGGGCCATGTTATCTTCTATTTATTTTCTCTTCTGCTTTGATTATATATAACGCATTCCCTTGATGATAAAAAGTCCACAACGGCAAGTTGTTTGAGTTTTGAGAGGGCTTTCATAGAACTTCATTATGAGAACTAGAGAAGAATTGTCTATCCTATTTTTATACTGTTTTTTCAAGGGAACCCTACTAAGGACGCTTGCTATGGTGTTTTATAGAACACAGACTACTTTTGGTAGTATTACTTATTTCCCTTTATTCACTGATTGAATTGGGATAAGGTTACGGGAGCTGCAGGGAACAACAAAATTAAGAAAGATACCACCACTGAAGCGGGGGAAGATTTCTGGACCTCTATCTGTGCCAGATCACATTCCCAGGCCTCCTTATGTTGGTTCAAATCAGCTACCAGAACTCTCTAGTGAATATCAAATACACAATGATGAGGGTATTGCTCGAATGAGAGCTGCTTGTGAGCTGGCTGCTCGTGTCTTGGATTTTGCTGGAACAATGGTCAGAGTAAGCTTCAATTCTACCTATTATGGGCTCTGAGACTGGTAGCTTTTTTTCTGTTCATTTTGGGCATTCCTATAACATTTGTCATTGAAGGTATAGTGTGCGTTATTAAAAAATAAAAAAATTCTTTATAGGCCTCAATTGTAGTTGGTTATATCACGCTGTATGTCGTACTTGGCATGCCTCTTTCCTTCATTTGGAACATATTTCCTTTATTTCACCCCTAAGGGCCAGAAATTGATCTAATATTTAATTTAATATTTTCTCCAGTTACTTGCCCAATGCAAATGATGCAATTGTTATTGAATTATTCATCTGTTGTCAAATGTTTAATTATTTGGTTGATTTATTGACACAACTGAAGATTTTTTTTTCATCAGCCATCTGTAACCACAAATGAAATTGATAAAGCAGTTCACGGCATGATAATTGATGCTGGAGCTTATCCTTCCCCTCTTGGATATGGTGGATTTCCGAAAAGTGTCTGCACCTCCGTCAATGAGTGCATGTGTCATGGAATACCTGATTCCCGTCAGCTACAGGTTTTGCAAGATGACATTTTATAACTGGGTTCTTTACAACTTTGCTAGCTAGATTTATTGAATTGGAAGTTTTATTTGTAACCTACAACTGGATCTTCTTATGCAGGATGGTGACATTATAAACATCGATGTAACTGTTTATCTAAATGTATGCTCTTTTCCTCTATCATATCTGAGTTCGTGAAGAACAGGTTTTTTTTGCCTTCATATTGGTACTTCTCTCTTTGTGGATTTTTCATCAATATTAACTCACTTGGACATGTAGATTTCAATTTTTATTTAGTTTTTACTTGCGCTTGCTTATGATGCTCTGATTCTATTTTACTCTAAAAATATGTTATTCATGTTTGAATGCTCGTCATAGAGCTTTATGTCCATCTTTTTCATGAAATATCTGATGCTGCTAAGGGTCTGTTTGGGACAACTTTTCATATGCTTTGCTTTTTAGACCGCCGCTACAATTCTGTTTGGGGAATTGCCATCATGTTGTTTTTTATAAATTTCTGTGGTAGAAAGCTGCTTTTTTTAATCTTTAAAGAGTAGCGACTGCCAGAATACTGCGGTTTGATTTTGTGAAAATAAGAGATTTGTAATAGCCACCGCAGTTTTTTGAAAAACAATTTTTCTTCTGTAGCAGCTTCACAACGACTTCTTCAAACAACTATAGCTGCCCCCAACAAATCCTAAATATTTGGGCTTTAATAAGTGATGTTTAAAAATTAAGCTTAGCTGCATGTCTGTAATTGATCAGCAGCAGTTTATCTAATTACAAGAGTTTCACTTAGTTTTTTCTTAAGTTTTGCATGGAAGATGCTGAATGCCTGAACCTTTCTGAATTTATTTTTGTCGATAGCATTTTTTTTTATCCGCCTTTTCTGTTTGTGATGTAGTTCTCTGAGGAATTTGCATATTAGGGTTATCACGGAGACACTTCAAAGACATTTCTGTGTGGAAAAGTTAATGAATCAACAAGACGATTAGTGAAGGTATCTTTCTGGCATCTTTCTGATTCTTCTTAGAGTACCTAGTTATCATGCCATGCTTATTTCTTATTCTTGAACAGTGTAATTAAAAATTAAGCTTACTTGTCCAAAGAAAAAAATGTGCGCCACAGTTTTGGTCTCAAGTTTTTGCTGTCATCAATTCCTTTTGGCCAATCTTTGAACTGCGAGTGGACACAGATTTTGAATTACTCATATGCTGCTCAAGGCCATTGAAAATGTATGCAACGGTTCATTTTGTAGAACATATGAAAGGGCCAAGTTGGCTGTGGCAACCAATTGATTTTTTAAAATATTAAGTGCTTTTAAGCTCTGACCAAGCATTGTAGCCTCTTTACTGAACTAGCACAGTCATGTATCGCCTGGTACATCGGGGCCCAAAATTCCATGCTGGTTCTCCTGAGACAGTTGTTCCTTTTAAATTTTCAAAAAATAGATTACATTTTAGATGCACCATCCAGAGATATGTCCTCTTTTTGCTAGGATTTCAAGATATGCTTTGAGGTTTTTCATAGATATGGGGCTTTATGGTTAATTGTTTGTCCTAAATCCCAGTGGTAAAAGAGCTTTTAGTTATTGTCAGTTGGTAGACGCTGGTGCTTAGCTTATAGAAAGCATTGATTTTGGATTTTTGAAGCATGCTGTCAATATACTGTGAGAAGAGGTTAAGGCGAAGTATTTCACAACATAGTTTGAGGGCGATCAAGTGATATATACTCTCCTTAATATAGTTTGAGGGGTCTAAGAGATGATTCTCCTCAACACGGTGTGAGGAAAAAAAAAACAAAAATGATGTTTCTCAATATAGAGTGAGGGAGATCCAGAGTTGACAACACATTTTAATATGGCGTGAGGAGAGATTGAGAGATGTTTCTTTGCACTATATTGTGTGGAGAACCCGTAAATGACTTTTTTCAATGGGAGGTGAGAGAAATCAAGAGATTGACTGTCATCAATATAGTGTGAGGAGTTTAAAATTTGGTTTTCCTCAATATGGTATGAGAAGAATCAGAAGATGATTTTCCTCAATACAGTGAGTAAGATTGAGAGATGACACTTTTCTTCAATATTATGTGAGTTAAGAGAAGATTCCTCTCGATATAGTGTTAGGAAAAACTTGAAGGTGTTAACTTTTCTCAGAAATGATGCGAGGAAGAGTCCGATAAGAGTTTCTCCTCAATATGGTGTGAGGGGAGTCAAAAGACAAGCTTTTCTCAATATGGTGTGTGGAGAGGTCGAAGAGAAAAATTTCTCCTCAATATTGTGCGAGGAGAAATAAATGATAGGGAAAAGGTATATGGAGTCTGCTTAATATGGTAGATGCTAAACATAAAAGATGAATTGAATGTCTTATAGCTTGATATTGTGAACTTAAGCAATCTTGGACATTTTTTCTATATGGTAGGTAGAGATGATGCCAAAAATGAGACTTATAACTTGCTCTAGTATGACCAAGAAGGTTGATTTTATCATCTCAATATGATAGAGAAAATAAGAATCTGGACTTAAATCTTAACCGAGCCAGAAATATCAGCTGACTACCTAGTCACATGTGCAAATAGGAAAAGTCGATCATATGTTGATAGAGGCTGAAGATAAACACGCCTAAAATGACTAGATAAAGCTAGCCTAAGTGTGAGAGTGAGTGTGTTTAGGTTATCTATCGTAGTGGGGAATTAGTTGATGGGTGGTTTTATTTGGTGGACATTATATTGAAACATAGTTGACAGAGTTTTGAGTTGGAGGTTTTGCAAGTAGACAAATGGGGTGATGATTTGCAAGGTAGGGTTTGTAAGGATTTGCTTTCTGAAAGTTTGATGAGTAAATGATTGGGCAAGTGATGGGTGGGGTGGCTACATAATATTTGGGGTTTAGGGATTGCGATGTAAATGTTGGCTATACGGAGAGCCAATCCTAGTTGAGCTTGAATTTGATTAATTAATCGAGTTCAAACTCGAGCTTAATTCTATGAGTATTCGCTCGAGCTTAATTCTAGGAGTTCAAGCTTAATTTTATAAGTTCAAGCCCACTTGTTCATCATTAGATATAATTTATTTTGATTCAATCAAGTAGCATAATAAAATGACAGAAAGAATGAATACTTAGTGAAAAAACATAAGAAATTATTTGATATAATAAAATAAAATTTTAAATTCTTTAATAATTTATTTTCTCTTTTGAATTTTAATATATCTTGTTGAAAAGTGTCAATTCGCAGACTTGATTAGGAAGGAATTTATTTTCTTCTATTATGATATATTTCACTAATTATATTTCATTTTATCAGATATTTCCTATTTTTATGTTTTCTTATTTGGTGGGATTCCTACTTTATTTTTTTTTCATTATTATTATTATTATTATTATTATTATTATTATT